CGCAAAGACTGTGATGCCTGTGCGCTTACACACACTAAACGCGTAATCTCGCGAAAACAACTAAAAAGGCAGGCTCCTAGGCCTTTCTGGCGCGTTCACTGGGATCTTTAAGATTACCTAGAGAGCTTTAATGGTATAAGGTGGCTGCTTGTCTTTAAAGATAAGTATAGTAAGATAATATAGGTGCACGCGCTTTCTAACAAGACCCTTAAGACAGTTTTCAACGTATTAGTTTACTTTAAACGATGGGTATTAAGGCAATTTAGACTCTTAATCGTAAGATATAGGTAGGACAACGAAAGAGCAGTGATTTTAAAGCAGGGCCACATAGCATTCTAAGCGTGGGCGCGATCTAAAGGCATAGAATTGGAGTGCCCTCTGCTATACACTTATGAGCTAAATGGAAACGCAGAAAGAGCGAATTAGATAATTACAACAAAGTCTATTGCTATGCTCTATAGCGTAGGGCTCCCACTAAACCTATGGTTAGAAAGCACGCAGGCTGTAGCTTTCCTGTATAATATAAGTCTAATGTAGCAATTAGAGTGGAAAACGCTTATTAAAGTCCTTAAGAGCTGGTTCTGTGATAATGCGCATTTGCTAATAAGAGCGTACACGGCAGACCTAAGACCAGATTGGAGCGGCTTGTACGCATATGGATGCTGCGCTTTTCCAATGTTAAGGGAGCGTAAAGCTAATAGAAATAGACGGCATTTTAAGACAAGCCCTAGAGGCTATATCGGATATTTAGTGGGCTACGCGGCCTTAAGGATTTATTGTATATAGATCCCTTTACTAAGGAAGGTAATAATAATGAGGAATGTGACCTTTAATGAGAAAGTCTTTTATAATCTAAGAAAGGAAAGCGCTAAAGTGCAATCAGTCCCTAAGCTAGAAGCGTAATTCTAAGCTCTTTAAATAGACACAGAACTCGACGAAGAAGTTAATCTCCTCCTATTACTACTAGAGCAATTGCTAGGAATAGAATAAATACGCCTAAAGAGTTCGAACTTAGGGGTGGAAGCGCCTAACGCAATAGAGGTTTCTAATAAAGCACCCTTAGAGGCTCACGAATGCATTTTTGGACTTCAAACTCCCCGGGCAACGCCTGATCATGTAGTTGTAGAGCAGACTGCACACTAAGGAGAAGCTCCTATGAGCTTTAGTTATAAGAGCTAACAGAGCTTAATTATTAAGGGTTAACAAGACCTAGACAATCCTGCGGTTCCAGAACAATATACATAGGATTAAGGCAATAAAAACGAACCTGCTGCTAAAGGCGAAATAACCACTTAGATATTAGACAAGACAGAAGCTCATTATTGTTACTTAGAGCACTCGATGCATTAGATAAATGCGTCATAGAGTTAGTAAGGACTAGCTACCCTCTAAGACTTATAAGACGCGCCACTACCCTAGCAAACTTAGGAAGGAGAGAGCTCCTAGGCATAACCAGTAACGCACTAGAGCGCTTAACTTTAGAAGCTAGAAAGCGAGGGACGCATTCAAAATTAGGATATCTTGCGTAAGAGAAGACCCAACCATTACCTTATTAACTGCTTATGGAAATCGATGTTAAGTCTGTGGCCTAATTAGCTTAAGGACGAAGACTATAATAACTAGAGCATAAAGACTGTGTTCGCTGTAATTAACGCTCAGTGCGACAATAAGAATAGAGCTCACCTTAAAGAAAAAATACAACTAAAAACCGTTTATTAGTCGGATCTCGCAAAGCCTCTAAAGAATTATCGCAAAGCTATAAATTACCTAATGTAAGAGCAATGGATTAAAGCAATGAAAGAAGAGATTATGAAGCTTAAGGAAAGAGGCATATAGAAGCAAATTAAGCGATCACAAGCACAATTAAGGCCAATACTATTAAAGTGGGTTTTTACATATAAATTCAATGAGAAGGGAACTCTAGAGAGATGTAAAGCCTGGATTTATGTGAGAGGAGACCTATAAGAAAAGGCCACAATCGAACGAACCTATGCCGCAACGCTCGCTGCGTATAGTTTTAGAATATTCATGGCTCTAGTGGCTAGGTTTGATCTCGAAACAAGGCAATTCAACGTGAAAAACGCGTTTTTATATGCAAGGCAAAGCGCGAATTTAATACTAGTGATATGTGAGCTGCCTAAAGGTTTTAAGATAGCAGATGAATGCGTAGAATTACTTAAAGCGTTGTATGGACTACGAGACTCACCATAATTATGGTTCGAGGAGCTAAGCACAAAGCTTAAAGAACTAGGGCTTAAAGCATGCCTAGAGGAGCCTTGTTTATTCTATATAAAAGAGCGCGATGTATTTGTAATGTTCTTTGTGGATGACATTATTATGGCTTTCTATAAGGAATAATTAACTAAGGCAGAAAAGCTAATCCAAGGACTTAAGAGCGCGTACAAACTAGAGGATAAAGGTAACGTGCGTTTTTTCCTAGGCATTTAGGTGCTCTGCGATAGAGAAAAACGAAGGATTTACCTAAGCCACGAAGCGTATATTAGTAAAATCAGAGAAAAATTCAGTTAAGCAGGCAATGGATCTTTCCCTGCTATTCTAATCCCGGCTATAGAGTACTAAAAGCGCAAGGGAGAAGCTGACAAGCAGACCGTAAGAGCGTACTAGGAAAAAATAGGGTTAATTCTCTACACAGCGATTATAATAAGGCCTGACGTTGCGTATACTGCAGCGAAATTGTCGCAATTCCTTATAAACCTAGGACTAGAGCATATTAGGGCAGCAGACTAAGCGATTAGATATTTAGTCCTTATAAAACACCTCGCCCTTAAGTTTGGTTGTGTGGGAGAAATGCGAGCAATCTAGATAGTAAGCAACGCTTCCTTTGCTAACGATGTAAGCATGCAATGCTTGTTATAGGGATATCTTATTACGCTTTTTGGAGGACCTATAATCTAGAAGGCAATACGTTAATTGATAGTCATGACCTTAATAATAGAGGCAGAACTGCTCTCCTTATTATAAACCGCGTATAAAACCGTTAGTCTGTAGCGCCTCTTTAAAGACATCTAATTTAACGCATATAAGGACTGGGTAATCCACTGTAATAACTAACAGATAATTCGCCTCATTCTTAATGAGAGTAAGAGACTTATAACTTATCTGCGCTATGTTAATATACATAATATGTGGTTGAAGCAGGAATATAAGCGTGGAAGCTTTAAGGTTGAATATCTTCCCATGGCTGAGATGCCTATAGACGGATTTACTAAGGCGCTTAATTGGCAGCAATTCGAACACTTTAGAGGAATGCTTGGCCTGATAAACATGCGCACGGTTCCTAGTCAACAAAAGAGCTAAAAAGTGCTAAGTCTAAGAAAATTAAACGCTGCGTTTAGATAACTTAAAAACGCGCTACACATATAAAGTCATGGCTATAGCATAGGCACACAAAAAGGGGGGGCATTAGGTATATTGCCCTAAAAAATATATAAGAGCTCTCCCCTTAGACAGCGAAAGAGCTGCTGAGGTAAATAAGATCTGCCTAAGGCAGGCAATAGCGTAAAAAGCAAAGCAAAAGAGTAAAGTAAAAAGGAAGATAAAAGCAAAAGCAAGCACTAAGCACAATACAAGGTGCGCGTTAGCTCTAAAGAAATAAGACTTTAATAGCGCTTTTATATATATTTTTTAATAACTTCCTTTACGCCGGCCATTACTGCGGCTACCTTAGCTTTCCTTTCCGCTGCTAATAAGCCCCTAGCAGCATTATTAGCCCTAATATAGGGCGTACCCTTATACATGGAGTCTGGTTCTGTAAGGAGTTTTAGCTGTAACTTTAGTGCCTAATGGCACTAATTGTACAGCTAAGGAGAAGAGAAAGCGTTAGTATCTGCGGTGGAATTAAGGCATGTAGCGGAGGAAAGCTCACCCTCTAGTTGCAACCCTGCGCTATTAGTATTTATTTAGTGATGGGAACTATAATAGGGTGTAAGTTATTATAATAGTGATTGCCTAACTTACATAAGAAGCATCTTAGAGACTTTCTAGACCTAGTCTTATAGCATCTTCCGCTATTACCCTTACCTGTAATGGCAGCCCTTATATACCCTAAGTAGGGTATAAGGCGCTGCGCACTGCAAAACGCAGGCAATGCTAGCTTTATAGAGTTAGCAAAGTTATTAAGAGAAAGTTAGAGCGTCCTAAAGACTTACTATCTGCTCTCTTCTTTGTAGTAAGGGAGTCCTTAGAGTAGAGCCCCTATGACCTTTATACGCTTAGGAGGGGAGAGGCTTCTAGCTACCCTTAGAGCGCTATAGACTTAAGGGGGGCAATAGGGGAGACAGGGGGGGCGGCGGAGAGGACAGAGGGGGCACAAGAGGCTTATTAGTATTATAAGCCTTAAAAGTAAAAAAAATTTTAGAGGAGACCTCTAGAGGGAGTGCCTACTAGGTATCCTCCTAGAGAACCTTCCCTAACCTTAAAGAAGGCATAATAGCAGCGGCGGCGACGATAGTTAGACTAACTAACTATAATAAAAAAGGTGCTTATAAAGAGGGAAGAAAAGAAGGAATTTGCAGTTAATAAGGGGAAATTATAATATCTACGGTCTTTACATAACCTTAGCTTATTACTTTTCTTCATTACCTTACTTTAACTTCACCTTCGTAAATGCTACCATATGCTCTACTCTGTGTAATTAGAGCTGCCTTCCTTAGTTAGTTACGCTCCAATTGGGGGGTGTGTTGCCCGGAACGCATAGGTGGAGCCTAATCAATACGCGGATTATCATAAACCCGCGCTACGCAAGGGCTGCGGCTGTGCGCACCATTCACCACTTATTTTCTTTTGTATGTAAATTACTAGAGACTTAGAATAGCGATAATATCATCAATTTCTAGAGCATTCTGCGCGTCAGCTGCCCACGGCGCGTGAATGTGCGGCTAGGTACCTAGGTACTTGGCTCTAAAAAGGCAATGATTGTAGAGATAAGCTTTCCAGATTCATATACCCAAATAAGAGCTTTCAAAGCATTGGTGCCAAAAAGCAATTTGGCGCAGTGGAAGCGCGCCGGGCTCATAACCCGGAGGCCGCACGATCGAAACGTGCAATTGCTAGGTGTTTTTTTGGGTCAGCCACTCACTCGGCACGTCGCTTCGAACCAGAGATGCTTTTTTTTTCCCTCGACCTTTACTTCCCCCCCCCTGAACTGAGGGAAAAGAAAAAGGCGAAATATTGACCTGATTCCGGATGATTAAGGCATTAGGTTCTTTTTTCTTTCCTTCGTTTGAAAGGTAACAAATTCCAGCTCGTAGAAGGGGCGCAGACGTCTTTGCGGTACGAATCGCGCGAATGCTGCATGCGATGAGAGTCACAAACTCTCACACCAACCTTTTTATGCGTGCTTCGGCCGGTTAGGAACGGCGGCCACTTCGGAAATACCACGCCATAGCCAGCTATCTTTCTTCTTCTTCTTCTTCTGGCTTTTATCTTTCGTAGAAAGACATGTACATATGTACAATTATGTAGGCAGAAATAGCTAGAGGCATCGCACCAGGGGGGCCACACACCCTTACAAGTTACCAGTGATATAATTTGCCAGAGAGAAGAAGAAGAAGAAGAACCAAATTCTGGCTACAATATCAAATGCAAGTAGACCTCGCGGTTGCGCTATTTCCAGCTCGTGCAAATAACAACAGTAACCAGGTTTCTCCTGGGCATTAAGTAGCCACCCTACAGTAATCCATTCAACATCTTATCACTCGGGGACCTGGCCGAATAATCAGTCGGGGACTTCACCCCTGTCAATATCGATATTCCGCGTCATCTGCTTCATCCACCATCAGCACGGTAAGCATCAGCAACATCCATGTATGTGACAGGACGCAGGCCGGGCAATCTGGGGCAAAGCTGGGCGTCACAGGGTCAACGCCGATCGATGATCCATGACTCTATATATTGTCGAGGGCATGATGTCGTTTCCGTGACCATGACAGTCACCTGTCATACTAGGCATCCGCCGTCTTCATTCTGCACGACGGCTTCCCCCGTGCTCACTGCTCACTGCTCACTGCTCACTTCTTCGCTGCTTCGCTGCTTTAGCCAGAAGGCTAGAAACTTGGCATGATGCGGCCGCCGTTGCTGGTACTGGCAATGTCGAGCGGCACCCTCGCAGCAGGACTGACCCTGACCGAGGTTGAAGGTCAGATCTCGTCGTATCTGGATCACGATGGCGACAAGGCTCGTCCCTTGGTGGTGCCCCGGTCTGGCTGTGCCGTTGCTGTAGGAGGTACCCCAATATTTTTGAAGACATGGACATGAACAGCATGATCCATCATTCGAGACGGGCTCAGCTGACCCCCAGAAACAGTGCGGCTTCCTCGCCCACGCGCGCCCCCAACAACTCTCGCGGCCCGGCAGCTCCGTCTACGCCCTCGAGGAGTCGCGATATTGGTCGCAACAGCAGCAGCGCACCTTGCCGGCCTGCCGCTTCACGCCAGAGTCCGCGATCGACGTATCCCTGGCGGTCTTGACGGCGCGCGTCACCCGGTGCGTGTTTGCCGTCAAGAGCGGCGGCCACGCTGCCTTTGCCGGCGCGTCCAACATCGACGGCGGCCTGGCCATCGACTTGCAGGCTCTGAACCGGATCTCCCTCTCGGCGGACCGCAAACAGACGTCAGTCGGCGCCGGCAATCTATGGAACCATGTCTACGACAAGCTGTCTCCCATGAACTTGACCGTCATCGGCGGTAGGGTGTCTGGCATTGGCATCGGCGGCTTGACCCTCGGCGGCGGCATGTCCTTCTTCTCCAACCGGCACGGGTGGGCTTGCGACAATGTCCACAGCTATGAGGTATGCTGAAATCCTCTTCGCTTGTCTTCCACCCCTCCGTCATATGAAATGATGTGAATTCACCAAATAAATAAATCAATCTCAGATCGTGCTTGCCGATGGTTCCATCCGTCAAGTCAGTCACAAGTCCGACTATGCCGATCTATACTGGGCCTTGCGCGGCGGCGGCAACAACTTTGGCATCGTCACCCGATTCGATCTGGCCACATACCCGCAGGGCAAGCTGTGGGCTGGTACTCAAACGTTCCCTTTCACCAAGGAGACTTCGACGGCCGTCAACAACGCCTTTTACCACTTCGCCGTGCAGTCCAACAGCGACCCCTATGCGCAAGTCATCACTTCGTATGCGTATTCCCAGGCCCAAAACATCCGCGTCATCTCTTCGGCCCTCCAGTACGGTCTCCCTAGGCCCAATCCGCCCATCCTCAGCAACTTTACCTCGATGAAGGGCTCTCTTGCCAGTACCCTACGCGTGACTGACCTGCCGGGGTTGACGGATGAGTTTCAGGGCTTGACTCCCAGTGGTTTCCGGTATGTTTGCCAGAAGTTTTATTTATTGAAGATGGAAACGAAAAAAAAAAAAA